GGACCCTACCCAGAGAAGTGTGATGCCTGAGATGGAGGCAGAGACGAAGATGTGGAGAGATAAGAGTGGCTGGGGACTTGAGATCCAGAGAGGGAAAGGGGATGTGTGCTCATGACTGTGGGGGGCAGGCTTGAGGGTATACCCCTTGGTTGGGTGATGATGCATGGATGGGATGGTAACTATGGCAATGAAATAATATATGATAGAATGAATGTGAAACTAATGTTCCATGTAAACTATCACACAATTCACAATAAAACATTTATATATATAAAAAAAGAACATTATGCAGAAAGAAAGCAAAACATCATTAAGAAGACAAGAAAGAAGGAAAAAAACAAAATGGATGTCAGAAAAGACTCTGAAACTTGCTCTTCAGTGTAGAGATGCTAAAGCAAATGGAAGACATTAAGAGGTAAAGGAGCTGAACTGAAAATTTCCAAGGGCAACTCAAGAAGACAAACAAGTATTATAATGAAATGTACAAACATCGGGAGTTAGAAAAACAAAAAGGAAGAATATACTCAGCATTTCTGAAGCTGAAAAAAATTGATGGAAAAATTCAAGCCTCAACTTGAAATACTGAAGGATTCAACAGGAAAAATAATGATGCAGAAAGCATCAAAAGAAGATAGAAGGAATATACAGTTACTGTATCATAAAGAAATGGTTGATATTCAATCATTTCAAAAGGTAGCATATGATAAATAGCCAATGGTACTGAAGGAAGAAGCACAAAGTTTACTGAGGGCAATGGCAAAGAGCAAGGCTCTGGGAATTGAGGGAATATAATTGAAATCTTTTAACAAACTGATGCAGCACAGGATCCACTCATTCATCTATGCCAAGAAATGTGAAGACAGATTGAAAGAATTCTGTATTTGTACCCATTCCAAAGAGTGACCCAATGGAATGAGGAAATCACTGGACAATATCATTAATAATCATATGCAAGTAAAATTTTGCTAAAGAAAATTCAAAAACGGTTGCAATGGTACATTGATAAGGAAATGCCAGAGATTGAAGCTGGATTCATATGAGTATGTGAAGCAAGGGTATGATATCACTGCTGACGTCAGGTGGATCTTGGCTGAAAGCAGAGAATACCGAAGAGACATTTACCTGTGCTTTTTGGATTATGCAAAGGCTCTTGACTGTGTGATGACATGCTTTGGATAACATTGTGAAGAATAGGTGTTCCAAAACACTTAATTTTGCTCATGAGGAACTTGTACACAGACCAAGAGCCAGTCATTAGAACAGAACAAGGGTCCAATGAATCGTTGAAAATAAAAAAAATGTGTTTGCCAAGAATATAGTCTTTCACCATACTTATTCAATCTGATTGGTGAGCAAATAATCCTAGAAGCTGCATTATGTGAAGAAGAATGTGACATCAGGATTGGAGGAAAACTCTAACAACCTGCAATATGCAGATAACACAACCTTGCATGCTGAAAGTGAAGGGGACTTAAAATACTGATGAAGATCAAAGACCACAGCCTTTGGTTTGCACCTCAATGTAAAGAAAACAAAATCCTCACCAGTGAACCACTAAATAACATCATGAGAAATGGAGAAAAGACTTAAGTTGTCAAAGGTTTCATTTTGTTTATATTCACAATCAACACTCATCAATGCAGCAGTCTAAAAATCAAAGAACGTATTGCATTAGGTAAATTTGCTGCATAAGACTTCCTTAAAGTGTTCAAGAGCAAAGATGTCAGTTTCTGAACTAAGGTGTGCCTCACCTATGCCATGGTATTTTGAATACTATCATATGCATGTGAAAGTAGGTCAATGAGTAAGGAAGACTGGACAAGAATTGATGCATCTGAGTTATGGTGTTAGAGAGTAATTTTTAAAGTAATATGGTCTGTCAGAAGAACAAACAAATCTGTGTTGCAAGAAGTACAACCAGAATGCTCCTTGGAAGCCAGGATGTTGAGACTTCGTCTCTCATACCTTCAACATATTATCAGGAAGGACCAGTTCCTGGAGAAGGACATCATGCTTGGTAAAGTGAAAGGTCAGCAAAAAAGGTGGAAGACCCTCAACGAGATGGATTGGCAAAGTGGCAGCAGCAATGGGCTCAAGTGTAACAGTGATAGTGAGGATGGTGTAGAACCAGGCAGTGTTTTGTTCTGTTGTGCATAGGGATGCTATGAGTCAGAACTGACTCAATGGCACCTAACAACAACTACAACTGTGTGAGTTGGGCTTGGTGAGAAACATATTCTAAAATTTATTGTGGTAATGGTTGTACAACCCTGTGAATATAGTATACATCATTGAATTGTATACTTTAAATGAGTAAATTGAATGGTGTATGAATTATATCACAATAATGTTGTCAAATAAAATAATAAAAATCTTACATGCTGAATCACTCAGTTGGATAACCTGATAAATACTCAATCTTGTCACACAGATCATTTAGATTCTTATTTCCAACAGCATTTTTGAAGATATAACTAAGGTGCTTCTTCACCAATAAACATTGTGAAATGTAGAAAAAGGCAATTGTTAGTATGTGTCCAGAAAACACTGTGAAAAAACACCAAGTTCATACTAAGTATAGTAATTTTTATTTCATTTGCTCTGTATACATGTCATTCACCAGTATTTTTAAGATGGAGTAATAATGCAGGATACTTTATATACTTTGCCTTGATTCATTTTTTGGATGTCACAATTATTTCACAAATAAGATGCTCAAAAGACAGTGTTTACTACTTATTTTTGGCAATAAAAATTACAAAACTTAAATTAAAAACTGTGCGCAATGTCATTGAACTGGAAGAAAGGTAATGAAGTAAAAACAAATAACAGAGGAAAAGAGTTTATCAAATTCAGATTCTTCTCATCTCTAATTATGCCAATATGAATAACAGCAATAGATAGCCACTGATGCTCAAAAATTTGACTCATCCTCTTTTTCACTTTATGCAGACACTTTAAATTTTATCAAGATTTTATTTTATCAAAGATACAGCTTTAATTTTATTTTATCAAAGATGTGGCTTTAGAAAGTGATTATCTAAAATATTTCTCATGATATCTTCTGGATCAGAGCACAGTAAAGTAAAATAAAACTTTCTGGTCTGGTTGACCATTTTTTTAAACAACAGGTTCCACATGGTTTACAACAAAAAAGAGATCACTTTGGAAGTCAACCATCAATCTTTGTCTGGAGGTAAGAAACTGAAACAATAATTAGGGCAAATTATAGAAATAGTTGCTATGCAGAGCAGTCTTTCCAGAATTCTACATTGTAGACACTAACAGCTTTTGCAAATGGAAATAGTACTAGTTGATTTCAGATTCTTCTTACAGATTTTTCAAAGTCCGTCTATATACAGATGCAAAATTATGGATGGCGGTTTGAAGAGTTGAGTGTCCCTCAGGAATATCACACGAACTGATCATTGAATGTAGTGCCCGAGTATATGCTGCAAATAAATTTTTGCACAGTGATGAATGAAGTCAAATTCTAAATAATTCTCTCAGACTCTTTACTCTTCTAATATTGCTTCTCTACCCATAATCCCATAGGTATTAGAGCTTAAATATATACTAATACACTTTTGGTGTGGTGGTGCAGGATCAGCACTGGACTGACAGCCACAAGGTCAACAGTTCAAACCCATTAGCTGGCTCCTCAAAAATCTTATACAGGGTTGCTATGAGTCGGCAGCACTTAAGAACTGTTGCAGACCATCCAGACCCAGTCAGGAGTTCGAGGCCCTGTGGGCCCAAGTGTTGCAGACCGTACAGGCCGCAGGCTCTGAGGAACAGACTCTAGCCACCTAGCAGACATAGCAAACTGTTTTTCATTTGTATTCAGTTATGTTTATTATTAATTGCATACATGAAGCCCTGATATCCACAGATAAATGTAATATTTTCCTAAAAGCCGAGACTGTAAAATTCCAAAAAGGCAAAGTTCTTCCCTCAAAGAATTCAGTCAAAGTAAATTGGGTGGCTCCCCGGTCTTTGTTCTAAGGACAAAAGGACACCTTCCCTAAAGTGTTTCCAGGTGCAGCCCTATTCACCCAGGTGTCTCTTTTCCTGAAGAACCTGGGCTGGGCAGCCGACACAATGGGACTCCTCCCAATCCTTCTTTTCCTTCCCCCATTTGAGGCTAGGTGCTAAAAGGTATGTTAATTAAGCTTGAGAAACCAAGTTTCGGTCGTGAGATTCGAACCTGCGAAGTACGATGTAAAGCTGCCTGAATGTCTGGAAAATTACGTATGTTAGCTGTACCTTGTCTTAGTCCCGCCCAGCTTTGTGTATAGTTCCTCTCCTAAATAAAACGGAGGCGCAAGACGAATCCAGGGTGCATTACGGCTGGCAAGGCGTGCGTTACGGCATGCAGGGGGCTCGGTCCAGCATTGCAACCATACTGCCTGCTTAGCCAAGATGTTTACTATGCAGGATCTTACAGCCCTCATGGCTGAGATGTTTGCAATGCAGGATCTGCCTGATGCCAGTCCCGCATCCGCTCTGGTTTCGGGGTGTCTCTTTGTTTCTCTCATTGTGTCCTTGTGTGTCTTTCTAGATTTCTACTGCCGCCAGATATCCCCATCTTGTGAACCAAACACCTATGTCGAGGCTGGTTCTCGGCAAAGAACAACAACAATGTGCCATGTACTCTGTGAGGACAGACACGGAAATGAAGGAAATAGGCAACCATTATTAAGTTATAGTGTAATATTTTCAAACCAGAGGCGTATTCAAAATGTTGTCACAGAATGAAGTTGGGAATAAATGAGTAACAATCTAAAAGAGTGTAACAGCTAGGTTTTGTGTCAACTTGAGTAGGTCAACATTTCCAGAGGTTTAGCATTTGAGATGTGCTTATTCCCATGGAAATGAAACTTAATACAGGCACAGTTAACTTTATGATGAGTGGTTATGAACAGTCAATCAATTAAAGGGATGCTTCCTTGAGGGTGTGGCCTGCTCCAAATATAATGGACACTTGGGAAAGGCTCTCTCATTCTCATTCTTCTGCTGAGAACCTGGGACTTTGCAATTGTAAGCCATTTCCTTGATAATAAACCTCTGTCTCTCTCTATATATATACATGGAGTCCTGGTGTGACACTGTAGGATAAGCACTGGACCACAAGGTCAGTTTGAACCATAAGGTTGTTGGTTCAAACTCACCTGCCACTCCTTGGAAATCGTACACAAAGTCACTATGTGTCTGATTCCAGTAATTGGCTAACATTTAAGATGGTTCTGAAAGATGAATTAGGAGTCCTGTTGTGGCGATGGAGGATAAGCACTTAACTGCAACAAGGTCAGTTGTTCAAAACACACCTGCAACTCCTCAGAAACCCTATACAGGGTTGCTGAGTCAGAATTGATTCAACAGCACAAATGATGAATACAGGAAGAGGGCATTCTAGATAGAGAAATGAGTGTGTGAAGTATACAATATGTAAAAGAACGTGATATATTCTTGGAATTGCAAGTTTGGTAAGTCAGGAGTGTGGCCTTTTGCTCTTTTAAGCATTTTGCACTTTAAGAAATGGGAAACTCAAGAAGTTTTAGGAGATGGGGAACAGCATAATCAGATCTCTAGATTGTTAAATCAAGAGATTTAAAGAGACTGCGAAAACAGAAACATTAGTGAGAATAAGGACCACTTTCTCCTACTGGGACTCCTGATAAAAGATGGAGCCTATACAGTTTCCATTTGTTTTAGTGTTCTCTGGCAGAATTGACAGACTGAAATAGACACACACGCAAATAGGTCTCTGTTAGAAAACATTAAAGTATTTGTATAACATTAAAGTATTTGGGAATTCAACTGCACAGAGCCTTAACTTAGCCGTAAGATATTTTGTTGTTGTTATTGTTAAGTTGGTTCCGACTCATAGTGACCCTGGGTAGGGTTTCCAAAGAGCTGCTGGTAAGTCTGAATCACCAACCTTGCGGTTTAGTGCTTTTGTCTTATAGCGCCACAACAAGACTCCATAGAGATAAAGTCTAATATCCTTTAGTTGAAGGAGGACGTGAAATCCAAGTGCTCTAAGAGTAGAGTGAGCTTGAAATAGTTTAGCATAAATGTGGACAAGAAGGCAACAGATCTCAAAGTGAAAAATAACTCACTATAATTATTTTTATTGTCTCATAGAATTTTTGTACAAAAGGGTTATAAGAGCATTTCATATATAATTGTTGTTATTAAGTGCCATTGAGTGGTTCAATAAATGCTCAGTAAATGCTAAATTGTATGGCTACTCCTATTATTATTTTTTATAATGGATGTCAGGCCTCAGCTGTTCTTTCAAAAAACTTACCTCTGTGGTTTTTGTAGAAAATACAATTGTTGGCACAGGTCTCAGGATGAGCATCCCAAAAATCTGGACCACAACAGCACAGTGGAGGTAAAGTAATATTATACAGCTTCATTTTCTCCTGGATCTGGGCTCTTAAAGCATCTACGTATCTATAAAAACACAGTATTATCAGGCAAAGTTAGCTACTAGGAAGACAGTGAGCAAAGAGCTCACTGAAAGAAGATACCTTATTTTACTACCAAGTTTTGATGCTATGTGCCTGAATTCTTCTTTGTACTGGGAAGAAAGAATTAGAAAAAATGCAGTAGTATTATATAATCGTGAAATTTAGTGAGTTCTGTACTCCTCATTGATGAAAAGTGTTAGAAAATAGTCAACTTTCTTTAAGGAAGTTATAAAAAATACTGTGAGATACCAGACTTCCCACCAAGTCTCCTCTATAAGCAGAATTTCATGCAGAACATTTCATAGTACCTTAAGTATTCTTTTTCTCTCTGTTTCTGTTTTTCTCTTTCACCTTTTATCTCTTCAAGTTTCAGTTGGGCTAATATCTCACTCATCTTTTCCCCTGAATATGGTACTTCATGACAGGTCATGTTTGGGATCCTCTGCTCTTCAGCATAACATTCCTCCTCTTTCTTTATAAGTCTAAAAATAAAATCATAACATGAATAGGAATTTCATAAAATCATTACTTAGAATGAGCTTATAAATACAAATTAGGCATTTCTAGATGCAATGGAGCCAGTAAATCAGTTCAGATATTATTATTATGTACCCTCGAGTTGGTTCCGATTCATAATGACCCCTGTATAGGGTTCCCAAGGAATGGCTGGTGAGTGTGAACTGCCACCCCTGTGGTAAGTATTCCAGTGTTTATCCTACAGCACACCAGGACTCAGTTTAATACGCAGAAAATATCCTCAAAAATTTCTGTTGGCTGATTTGCGTTTATCCTGCAAATCAGCTATCTACATAGGCTCTCAAAGGGAAATGATCAATGGTTACTAATAAGAGATTTCTTTTTTTAAAATAAAAATCCTAGTACAAGAGCCTTCTCAGATTAAAACTATAAGTAGAGAGAACTTGTATTTTTGGCAAAAATGGAGTAACTTAAAAGGAATCAGATCTGACCTCTAAACATAAATAACAAAAAAATAAAATTTAAAAAAAAATGGCTTTCAAGATACTAGCTATCAGACAATAAAAGACAATCACTGACTTCTGGCAAGATGGTGGACTAGGCAGACATGTTACACAGATGTTCTACAACAAAGATTGCAGTTAAGTGCTGTCAAGTTGGTTCCAACTCTTAGCAACCCTACATAGGGTGTCTGAGGCTTTAAATCTTTGCGGGACCAAAAAGCCTCATCTTTCTCCCATGGGGTGGCTGGTGGATTCAATCTGCTGACCTTGTGGTTCACAGTCCAGTGCTTATCCTATGGAGTCACAACGCTCCCTACAACAAAGACATGAGAGATCAAAAGAAACAGATACAGATAATAATCTTGGAACCCTGAACTTCAGATGACAGGATAGAAGTGGAATGAATGCTAAATAGGAGAAGAAACTGAACGGGGTAGCAAGGTGGCAAGAGGGGAGACAAACAGGTGAACTGTCAACTGACCCGATTCACCACTGCTATCTTGAATTTTTGCAAGCAGCCTTTGACTTAGACAACTGTAAAAAAACAGCAACTAAGAAAAACAACAAAGTGAAATAAGCAAAATTATGTGGAATAAATCAACAGCAAATAAAATAAAACAAAGCAACATTAACAATCATGACTTTGCAAACCACCTCAGAATATAGACGAACCCAGATAAAGGACATTAAGTTGAGTGAAATTACTCAAGCATAAAAAGGGATGAGACCACTATTGTAAAAAGCGAAGAAGTTCTCACACTAAAAGAAACATTCTTTGATGGTTAGCTCACTTGGGAGGGTAAATAAGTGTTAACCTGGATGAAGTAAAGTGTAAATATAGTAAGAGGCAGTTGGTGAAAAAAGGATGAAAGCATGGGAAGGTATAAGAAGAAATGCAAGATTAAAAGCAATAGAGGTAAATATTCTCACATATACATAATCCGGAGTCCTAGCATGGTGCTGTAGGATAAGCAATAGACAGCTAACCACAAGGCTGGAAGTTCAAACCCACCAACTGCCCCTTGGAAACCCTATATAGCATTACTACGAGTTGGAAGTGACTCGACAGCACTTAACAACATCCACAAGCCTGCAATAATGGTAGATACATGGATAGACACACAGACTGACTGGGTGAAGGAAGAACGTGAGTATACACACATGTAAAAACTGGACAGAGGATATTTGCACATAGGTATATACCTTTGTGAAAGAGCTGTGATAGTGTAGTGGGTTATGAGTCCAACTGCAAACTGTAAGGTCAGCAGTTTGAAACTACCAGTTGCTCTGCGGAAGAAAAATGAGGTTTTCTGCTCCTGTAAAGATTTATGGAAACCCTATACAGGTATGAAAACCCTATACAGGATTGTTATGAGTGGGAACCGACTCCACAGGACATAGGCACCATCACTACCATTTACCATTGCTGCAAATATATACATGAATGTGGTACAGCACATAGGGGGTAAAGTTATGAATACTTCTTAGACATTACCAAACACCTTGGAGGAGTGAATTGCGGGGCCTGAGGGCTCAGGATCATAGTCTCAGGGGACACCATGGCAAATTGTTATAACACAGTCCACAAAGACAATGTTCTACATCTTACTTTGGTGAGTAGCGACTAGGATCTTAAAAGTTCAAGAGCATCCATCTAAGGTGTAATTATTGGTCTCTCACTGTCCAGAGAGAAAAAGAGTGATGACAATTAAAGACACATGAAAATAGGTAGTATTCAAATGGTCTAATGCACCAAGTGCTCATTAGTCTCCACAACCCTTATGAATGTTTAGCTACCACTGCCAACTGCTCTGAAAGGGATCACATTAGAAAATCCTGGATAGAGTGGAATAAAGTATGGAACAAATCTAAAAAAATTATAAAGACAAAAACAAACTCCAGGCTTACTGGTAGAACCCCCAAAACTATGGATGTTAGTCACTCTTCCTTTGTGGAAATGAACTCACCTCAGCCCAATGGTTCAATTTTCAGATAAACAATAAACGGGTATATAGGGAAAAAATAACACCAGGGATGTAGGTACACCTTAGAATAGTCAATCACTTGAGATCAAAATGGCAGCATTTAGTCAAGGACATAGTTAAGAAGGGTTACAAAAGGAAGAGTGGAAATAGGAAACACAGGAGGAAGTGGGAAAAATGATGTTACATTTTGGAGTTTGCAATCAGTGATAGAAAACAAAATATATATGAATTGTTGAATGTAAAACTGATGATCTATCTACTCTGTAAACCTTCACTCAATTCACAATAATAATAAAAAGACAGTGTTCACTGGAACATGGGAAACAAACAAGAGAACCTCATAATTACTCTAGCTTACTACCTTGATAGTTTCTAGTCAGAGATAGAGGGGTGGGGAACTGAGGTGAAGCTTCGTGGAATCCTTGCATTGAGAAGATGGAGTTGAAAGTCTGCTGAAAGACAAAGGCAACTACAGTTCATATAACAGAATCCCTATTATTACACAGAGAACCCCAGAGATCCAGTGGGTCTCTTTTGAGTAATCAGCAGAGTATTGATCACTGGATATACTTGAGAATATAATCAGAGGTCAGGGAGGTTTTGGGAGGAACCACCCAAAAGGATTAAGAGGAAATAGTGCCGAGTGCTTATACAATGCTATAAGCATATAGTGCCTGTTCTTATAATCCAGACTTGGAAACATTCATAATTCATTGGGCAGTAGGTGGAGTTATTCATAAAGCTATTGCCTCAGTAGCGGGGAGTAACAGTTAGTCCTAAACTGAGAAGTGTTCTGGATTTGCCTAATAAATTGTAAATGCAAGGTCCCAAAGGATCTGGTTCCAAGTAACTTAACTGCATCTCAAAATCAAAACTCAAGATTTGAAGGAATATGAAAGTATTCATAAACCAAAAGATAAAACTAAAAAATGTATGGCATAAAATCAAAGATTGAAAGTTAAGCAAAGAAGGAAGAAAAAAAAACCTATATATGAATAAACAATCAATAAAAACCAACAAAGAACTGACATGATAGTTAGAATTAGCAGAGGACATTAGAAAAGATTGCAATTTTGTCCTATATATTCAAAAAGTTAAGAGTAGGCATGAAATATAAAAAAGACTAAAATTTAACTTTGACAGAGGTGTGGCAACATGGTGGAGTAGGAAAAAAAGTTGGTGCAGATTACTTGCATAAGGATATGGAAAGTCAGGTGAGACAGATGCAGCTTCATATCTGCATCCTAGATCTCTGAGCTTCAGATGAAGGGATAGAGAAGTAGAATGAGTGTTTACTGGAGGAGGGAGCTGAGCAGACACAGAAAGAGAGGTGGTGACTAATGAGCTGTAGCAGCCAAACAGACCTGCTGCAGTTATCTTGAGTGTCTGAGTGACTTCAGAACCAAGAAAACACGTTTGTGTTGAAGAAACCTATCTGTGACTGGCTCACAGAGACAAATATGTGATTTTTTTTCTTGTTCCCCAGAGGTGAGGTCAACCTCCACCAGCATACAGGCCCAGAGAAGCTCCCATTTTCCTGGTGATAGGAGCTGCCTGGAGGTGTGAGCTTCACTGAAGGAGGAGGAGTTACCTGCAATTACCCTGCTTGGGCAGTTCCTGTTCCAAATCAGCAAAGTCGGCCATGCCAACCCTGGACTAGCTGTCACTAAAAGAAGCAGCTACTAAACAGACACATGGGGATAGGAAAAAAAAAAAAAGGAAGAAAGAAAGACTGGAAAAGGAGCAGCAGGACCATCTTGAACTTTTTAAAGTCGGTTATGAAGGCAAGAGTCCAGTAGGTGGCGCAGAGGCATATTGTTTATTGGTGGAGAGAAAGTCATTGCCAGTTGATTTATTTCTTCTTTCTTCGTAAATATTTTATTCTTTTGTTGTTATTTGCTGGTTTGTTTGTTTTCCTTCTCTCTTGTGTGTTTTCTCTTCTTGCCTCACCTGGCAGGAGAAATCATCTGTGGCCATATAGCCCGGTAACAGCTGTACCCTCCTATAGCCCCATCAATTGGGCTAGAGTCAATACTAACTGCTACATACTATATTAATGACAACAACCAACATCAGCTAAATCCACTCTGAACTGAACTGCACAAACAAGGAACAAATAATGGTGTACAAGCTCATCCCCTGATCACACCCACCAGGAGGCAGTCAGTGAGTGCCTAAGAATACCCCAACACAAATGAATACAAATATATAATACACCAATGACTCAAAAGCAGCTGAAAATTTCTGTTCACATGAATAAATAAGACTAGCTTAAATAAATGACCAAGAAGCAGGGGTAGAAAAAGTTTTTGAGGGGAAAAAAGGCACTGGGACAACGGAAAAGGAATTCAGAAGAGTGATAGTTAGGTCCCTTCAAACGATTGAGAGAAACGTTGAGGAAAACAAGGAAGAATATAGGAACAACAACAACAAAAAATGGAGACAGTACAAAATCTGCAAAGAAATCCAGATGATTAATAACTAAGGTATCAGAAATGGACAATTTCTGATAGGGCA